CATCCATGCATACATACATACGTACATACATACATACACACATACATACACACATACATACATACATAATCAACCATACATACACAGGACACACATACATTGCATGAAACAATACAAACCCCAAGCCGGACTAGGAATCCAACACCCAGACGCTCCATACTTCGCGGTTTAGGGTTTAGGGTCTCATCTGCGTGGAAACACACCACGACAGGAACCGTACAAGACTCACTGCTTTTGTTCCGTCGCACAAACGAGTCGGACTGGCCAAGCTAGCTCCAGCACATCCAAACCCGAAACTTGAACTATAGTTCATGAAACTCGTAATCCCTAAATAGCAGAAATAGGAGAGGTTTTAGGTTGCCGAAGTGGTGGTATTCCAATACATGGTCGTGATGCTGCCAAGCTACTTCGCAAAGCGGTGCTCTAAATGCTGAGAATCCGTTGAAGAAACCCTCAACCCCATCCTTCCCCGAAGCCCTGTACAAAACTCTCTAACACTTGGGGGTTGGTCTACATGTCGTCTTGAAGGGCGAAAAAATGGTGGTCTCAAAAGTTTAGTAGGATTTCTTCTACAGCTCCTGCTGAAAGAAGGGAACCGGATGACCCTTTGCTACTGCACTTTCTGTACAAGCAGCCCCAGCCTGGAGAAGGAACAGCCCAACTTGCGGCCATTGCTATCAGAAGCAACCACCATTTGGGTAGCTCTCTAAATTAGGGTCCCCTTTTAGGTCCCCAATGTAATACAGCACCCTTTTAAAAAGGACCCTAAAAGGGACCCTAATTTAGAAAACTACCCATTTACAAGCCACTTGATCTCAATTAGGCTGGGGATCTCTCTATGGCTTACGGTTTAGGGTATACACTCAGCCCGAGACCTACGGTGCATACCTTACCCGGACTCAAGCCCAGAAGGCCCTACATGGACACCTCGACTTCTTGGAAAACATTCTTCTGCTGAGTAGTCTGGCAGGGGTACTGTACTAGTCTCCACAACATGGCAAGAGTTGCAAACACCAAGTGTATGTCAACCATTACGTACAAGTAGCCCAGAGTCGTAGATCCCGCCTAAATGCAACGAGTAAGCCAATGACTGTTCAACCACAAAAAAACTCAGCTGTAAATCCAAGACTTAAAAACCCTCAACAACCCTACACTTCAATCTTGAATCCTACAGGAATCTGATGAAGAAACCCTGACTCTTTATTACGATTCTTTATATGAACCCTAATATATTGGGGTTATAGGGCAGGGATTCTTAATCAGGTTCCTACATTAGGTCCCTCCTTCCTCAGCGGTGATTGTCGCAGCTCAAAGAGACTTCCCGAGATGCTGCCCCTTAGCATCGCATGGAGCCACGAACACGCAAAGCACGGAGAGTGCTGTTGGGTTCAAGACATCTCTTGAGCCCTAAACGCTAAGCCCTAAACCCTAAACCCCAAACCCTAAACCCTAAACCCTAACCCCAAACCCAAAGACCCCAAAATCCCGACGCAGTGTGGGGTTAGGAGTGAGGCTAGAGGTCTCAACTATTGAGCACGCCCGACAGCGAACGCGACACAGCCTGGGACCTGGCGATGCTTCAGTCATCGCAGAATATGGGTAGTCCTCTTTATGGTCCCGCTCTAGGTCCCCAGGATAGCACGGCATCCGAATAAAAAAGGATCCGAAAAGGGATCCTAATGTAGAGAACTACCCATATGTCTTCCAAGAATCAGAACAATCTCAGCCAGCCCAAGCCCTAAACTCCGAACCCAAAGCCCGGAAACATCAGGCAAAGGGATCCTTAAGCCAACTTACCCTTAGGTCCTTAGCATCTGAAAGGAAAGCCGAACTTCGCCATAAGGGGTCAGAATCTTCTTGTGCTAAATGGTGATGAAAACAACTACTTAATGGCAGCAGTAGTAATCGTAGTAGTGGTCGTAGTAGTAGTAGT